CCAGAATCATAGTGAAAGGTACTCTGGGAGAATAGTTTATAATATGATAAAAAGTTATTACTGGTTTCTAATTTATCCCTCGCATAAATCTGCTCGCTTTTAGATAGTTTGTGACGATAATAAATTTCTCTTCCCACAATAGCTGTTTGTTTTATGCTAAAATTTACTTTAAAATTGCTTTCAGGTAGCAAGAAGAGGCAATGAAAGGAAGCTAGTGATCATGAAATATGCATGACTTGGTGAAGTAACGTGTGGCATATTTCGTTATCAATATTAATGCAGAGTCAATTACAGACAATTTAGGAAGCGGTCATTTTTCATCACCAGGGAGGGGTTGGAGGAATTTTGTTGTGTCACAGCAATATATTTAATCCCCCCTCTCCTATGCTCTGTTGTATTCTAACGATCCCTTCTCATTGGCAGTCAAATTTATATAGTCACCCCTTTATACTCCGTTAGTGACAACTGATCTCCGCCCGGTCCCCCCTGAAAAATATGTGGTCCCCAAAACTCTTATGACCAGTTTATCCTTCCCCCAACTTCGACACATTTGGTATATAGTTTCTGTCTCCTTGCTCAAGGAAATGTCAGCTGGAGACGTGAACAGAGAGCAGAAGTCGCCCTCGTCGTCAATAAATCAGTCAGCAGCTGTAGAAAAATATCTCTAAGGTGGTCGATCATGACACGCAATGGATAGAAAATCGATTCCACATAGTACCTTGCTGCCGTCAACCTTCATTACTGGCGTCCATCCCCCATCTCCGCATCCAAAGTCTCCCATGCGACAGAGAACTGTCGTTGGCTGTGAGCCCAGATGAAGAAAAACTAGTTCATTCACGTTTGATCTGTTGAAATACAAGTGGAGTAGTTACATAAGTAATTGACTCTCTTATGATGCCAATCTTTATCATTTGTACGCATCAAACTTTCTGAATGATGTGTCGAGGAACTCTGTTTTTAAGATCCAACGTGGTTGTAAATAGCTGGTCACCTCTGCGTCTCCAGTGTCACAGAAGATAAGATTTTAGAAAAGA